CCCCACTGCCTAGTTAATATAAACACTTGTTCAATAAATGTTTTCGGCTTCCTCACGTAACTGTTTGACAAGGAGCTCGACTAGTTTCAAGCCATGTTAGAGGCTCATATTCATGAGCAGCATTCCGCGACCCTCGACGCGGCGACTGTCGCGCTGCTACACATTGCTGTTTAGTATGTCTCACAAAAGTTTAAATATAAACACTTTTTAACAGTCACGAACCTTCTGTACTTACACTAATGAAAGCTGTTGGGCAGTGACGTCATCGGTCGATGCAGCTTATGCTATTTCGAGCAGGCACGTCATAGCTGGAGCCTCGAGCACAATGCCCTTGTTTAACGCAACGTTTAACAAATACAGTCAATTTGCTTGTTTAACTTTAAGTTATGAATTGCTGAACCGATGTATTTATGATCATTTTGTTCCATTTTCGTCCGTTAGCTGGTTAGTTTGAGTTAACGTGCAATATCAGGGTTGTTCCTGAAGGTGTTTGGTAGAATGCTTAAAGTACTTGCTAACCGCTTTGTGCCCATTCAATCAATCAAATCATAATTTTTACATAACATAACATCACGCCTTTTATCCCCGAAGGGGTAGGCGGAGGTGTACATTATGCCACTGTACAATGTAACACCCACTTTTCAATATTTATGTTATGAGTCCCATGTAATAGGGGGTGAGCCTATTGCCATATACCGGGCACAATTCCAGACTCCGTGCTACTACTGGGAATTTTTTGAAAAACCCAGTAATTCTTTTGCCCGACCCGGGAATCGAACCCGAGACCCCTTGCCCGGCAGTCGCACTTGCGACCACTCGGCCAATGAGGCAGTCTGTCATAATTTTTAGTTTTAATAAATCTTTTAAAGAATATTCCAGATTTCTCGTTTCGTATTTTGAAATTTGTGCCGTGATCACAATTTTTTGGTTATTTAAAAAAAAAATATTACCAGCCCAAAGCATACATGTTAATCCAGTACACAATGACAATCGCACTAGGCACAGCCTGTGTCGCTGTAATTTAATATTTTATATTTGTAATGTACGGTAATATGTAATATAAGGTGTATTTTATTCCTTTCCAAAGATTTCCTTCAATATACCTAGATGAAGTTTGACGCTCTAATACTTAAACTGTCAAACACCAAGCGGTCACCGGTGACCGCAACCTATTGTTCTATAATTGTGTCTACAAAACCGGTACTCGACGAGTTAAATGCTTATTTGAATATAATTATAGCTTACATGTATTAAATTGCATCTTAACAATCTCTAATTTAATAATAATAATAATAAATTTTATTGAATCAAGAAAGAGTTTACACAATTTTGTTTAACATAATGTCTATCATATAACTTACATAATATTTGTATCATGAAAACAATTTTAGCATCTGTTGCTGAAATAGGTCTTAAGCCTGTGCTTCAGCTCGCAGCGCTTCAATCCTCGGAGCAAGTTTGTAAATTATAAAAACTAAATCTGGGTATACAAACATTTAAACGTAAGAAATAACATGCTTAACAATAAAATAAATTGTAAACTATAGTGAGTAAAAGTCCTCTGTATGAATAAAGTGAAAAATGAGTGTATGTGTGTCAGAGGGTGAGTAATTATGACAATTGAGTCTACATTGCTGTTGTATATGATTATGTGATTTCTACATTTATCATAGGTGAATATATAAACTAAGAGAATTTATTTAAGTACAGTAAGTATATCCTCAGTCTGATCATAAGACAGTTTCAAGAGCCAGCTAGAAAGTGCTTTTTTTACTGAAGCCTTCTTCATGTGATAGATGTTAATATTTTTATTAACTTTATTGTAAATATGGGCACCCAGGAAGGGGTAAAATCTATGTATAAAACTAGTTCTTGGCATTATTGTGCGTTCGCAGACGGTGAAGTGTCTCCGCTTAGAGGTTATGTCGGGATTATATAACAATTTGGAGTGTTGTTTTAGTACTATATTTAATAAAAAAAGTTGTCGAACTGTCAGTACTTCACAGTATTCGTAGAGTAGTTTGGTCGGATAGCGAAAGGGTTTGAAGGTACATAGTTTAAGGATGGTTCTTTGTGAGACTTCGAGCTGTTTTAATGTGGTTTTTGGTGCTCCACCCCAGGATGATATGCAATAAGTAATGAGTGATTGGCAAAGAGCCTGGTAGGTCCGTTTAAGGATTTGTGGAGTTACTACATGCCTTAAGGTTTTGAATAGGTAAGTAAGCTTGCGAATTCTTTTACTCAGCTCATGTATATGGGCCTTGAAATTGAGTTTATTATCTAACCTAACGCCCAGGTACTTTACTGATTCTGAAGCTTCAAGCTGTTCGCACTGACAGTTTAGGACATTCGGTGATTGCGAGGGACATTTGTGAACGACTAGCTTCAGATTGGTATTAGGATTGGCTCGAATTGAGAAGGTAAGGCATTTGGTTTTATGAACGTTGAGCGTGAGAACATTGACATGAAGCCATTTCCTCACTCTGTCAAAACCCTCCTGAGCCAGTTTAAAAGTGTCTTGCCAAGATTTTGCTGCAAAAACAAGGGCAGTATCATCTGCGTATGAGAGTATTTTTCCAGGGAATGAGTTGAGACAAAGGAGGTCATTTATATAGACGAGAAAGAGTGTCGGCCCAATAATGCTCCCTTGGGGCACCCCGAAAGATACAGGTAGTTCAGTACTGATGTAAGAGCCAATTTTAACACATTGCTGTCTATTTGTAAGATAATCTGCCAGCAGACTCAACTGTGTTCCCCGGATACCAATTCTTTCCAATTTACGTAAAAGGATCGGGACTGAGACCGTGTCAAATGCCCTCGCTAAGTCTAAGAATATTGCAACAACCTTATTTCCTTCATCAATATTAGTTGAAACATAATTGGTGAGATTGCTAACTGCATCATCAGTTGAGCGTCCATGGCGAAAGCCGTATTGTTCATCTGATAGTAATTTATTGTGTTCAAGGTAATTGACAAGTCTTTTGTTTATGATTTTTTCTAGAATTTTAGACAGCGATGGTAGTATAGATATAGGCCTATAATTTTCAACACGGTCCCTGTCCCCGCCCTTGTGAATTGGGATGATCTGTGACTTTTTTAGATCTGTGGGGAAAACACCCCTCGACAAGCACATGTTAAATATATAAGTTAAGTGTGTCGCAAGGATACCTTTATGAGTCTTTAGGAACCAGTTCGACAGACCATCCCATCCCACTGAGCACTCATTCCTAAGCGCACCAATAAGGTCTCCGACCTCATCTTGGTCAGTCTCCAAGAGAACAAGGGAATCTAAATTTTGACACAGGTAACCCTCTACAGCCTCTGGAACTCCCGTCCGTCCCTTTGTGATACTTTCAGCTAGTGATTTACCCACATTTGTATAATAAGCATTAATATAATCAATAGAAAGCTGGGGAGTGTCTAGGGAGGCAAGTAGTTCGTTAGGGAGATTGACTGGTTTTGCTGTGTCTGTGATTATTTTAATCGAGTCCCACAATTTTTTGCTATCTTTACCAGCCTTTTGAATTAACTCTTTATCATAGTTACGTTTAACTTTTTTGAGGATTTTACTGCAAAATTTTCTGTAGCGGGTATAAGTTGTTTTAAGTATAAGGTTGTCTGGAGATGACTTCATATTTTTGTGCAGTTTATCCCTATGTCGGATGCAGCGCAGCAAGCCAGGTGTAATCCAAGGTTTAATTATCCGCTTACGGTGTGGAAGTATGACGACTGCAGAGTTATGGTGTAAGGCTAGTTGCAGTTCCCCTATTAAATGACTCAGTGCGATGTTGCAATCATCCGTTTCATAAACTGGGTTAAAATTAATTTGGCTGACACAGTGATATAATTTATCCCACTCAATTTTAGTGTATGTGGACAGTGAATAATTCCTTGAGATATGTTTTTCTAGGCTCAATATGACAGCTTTATGATCAGTAAGAGTGGTTTGCAAGACAATAGTGGTAGAAGAAAGTTTACTTCTTAGAAGCACATGATCTAAGCAGCTTTTGCTAGCGTCACGCGTTACCAAGCTATGTGCAGGCAATAATCCATGATACGCGGTCATCGCAAGATAACTTTCAGTAGAGGCACTTGAGCATTCAGACAGTATATCAATATTTAAATCCCCCACTATCGCGATATTTTTATAGCCTTTTAACTTTTGTAAGACCTCATCTAATGAACTCAAAAACGGATCCAAATTAATGTATGACGGAGATCGATATATGGCCAGAATCACGGTATCATCTTTCCCAAGATTAAGAATAAGACAATTACAATTTTGTATGTTAGATTCTTCAATACAACAACTAATTTCATTCTTAACATAGACTACGACTCCGTCGTTCTGAATAGGATTTAATAAGGTCATGTAGGAACAATAGCCATCCAATCTAGGAACAGAGTGTACATGTGTCAACCAACACTCGGTGAGGATAAGTATGTCAAACTCAATGCCCAGACTCGACAATAAAACCTGGAAGCCTGTAAAATTGCAATTTAAGCTACGAATATTTTGGGTTATAACGGATAAACATCGTTGTGATGGGAAATACTTAATGCAATCATCGATCTCACACTCATAAGTTTCAGAGATTCTAAAGCTATCAATGTCATTAGATACATTATCAAAATCTCCCATTTTTCCAGAAGTAATAAATAGTAGCTTGAATATGGTTGTATAGTAAAAATCTTGATAATATTATACTGAGTGTTATTTTTCGTTTCAAGTAAGCAACTGATAATTTGAAACCTATTTTTGACATATTGATAGAGATAAACTCATAAGCCTCAAGAGAATATGTAGGAATATATCTGTAAAAATCGAAAGGCGTTGTATGATTGTATAAAATGTGAAGTGTTAGTTTTGTGTTTTTATAGAAGCAAGCACTTATCATGCTATGATTTACAAAATATTGAGAAAAGTAATAACAAACATAAAAGGAACCACCAGCAGTAAGGGCATAAACGTGAGAAACAGTTACTAACAAACGTGATAGTCACTCCAGCTTCCTTAAGTTCTCAATGTCCTTTTCCGATAAAATCTTGATATGAGGCGCATTTTCTTCCTTTCTTAGATATATCACCCCATGAGACGTCCAGCAAAATAAGTATTTGTATTGTTGCTGAAAGGTTCGGGCCAGGTAAAAAAGTTTTTGTGTTTTTGTAGTGAGAGCATCGGAGACGTACACCGGTTTAGTTGGACCCCGAAAACCGAGATTACCGGTATTGAGCTTTTCCCCTGGTCTTTTAGTTTTGTTGAATGACTTAAGGTTGTTGAGAATTTTTTCTTTTAAAAGTACCGTTGTAAGTTCAACCATAATGGGGTGCGACGAGTCCCTAGATTTTATTCTATAAATATCTTTAATGCATTCCGGGTTGACATCCACATCAGCAATTTTAGCAACACTATTTATCAGATTGAACAGGTCATGTTTTGTTTCACCAGTCTTCTTAGGAATGTTGCGTATTTCGATACCTGTAGAACGGGACTTACGTTCACTATATTCAATCTTATCTTCAAGAAGCTCAATATACTTTTTATCTGTTCGTCTGTCTGATTCTAGCTGGGATATTCGTGAAAGGAACTCGTCGTACTTACTCGACATCATCTCCACGCTTTGAGTTAATTTGACGTTTTGTTCCTTAAGACATGAAATTGTCGTCTGCAGCTCATCAAAACGAGCGGCCTGGTAACGGGAAAGAACAGCGAACATTTCTTTAATTATATCTGTATTATAAATATCGCCTTCATCGAACTTCCTTTTCTTTCTTTCGTTGATATTTTCTATGATAGAACGGAGGTCAGGCGCCGAATCATAGTGTTGAATTGCTGTATTAGTAGTGGACTTTTTAACAGACGTAACATCTGTAATTGCGTCAACAACCTGTCTAGTAGAGGACGGCGGCGATTGAGTGTGTTTACGGGGCATGATGTTATTTTGTTTATAATAGATAGTTCGAAACAGATACAAGCACACTGAACACAATCACAATCCGAGAGGGGTCAAGGTAAGCCGGACGCTATCGAGACTTTGGTACAAAATTGCTTTCCGTCCAGTGTAACAAGAGCTCCCCCGCTCACCCAGTTGCCAGTGTCTTGCACAGTATTGTTGTCACTCTCTGACGCACCGATTAACAGCCGCCGCACGAGACAGCCGTCCCAATGCACTTTTATTTGTTTATGTTATTTAAAATTAAATCAATACGCACTCCAATTACGCGACTGCTCTGGTCAGAGGTCCGAGGGAGAAGGACTATATGATTCTGATAAATGGTTCTTGACTTTGATGAAAACAACTATAAAACTGAAATAGGTATTCATATCTATTTCTGTTTTATGGATATCGAAGTATACTTCGATATCTGGATCTCGCACTTTTACGGTACCCGCGAATACCAACGAAGTAGTAACAAAAAATGAATAACAAACTAAATAAATTAGGTTTCAATGAACAGCGCAGCGTGCCTATCTAGACTTTCTCTTGCCTAGCTTTTGTTAGTTTTATATACTGAGCAGCTGTAAGTAGGTATATTTGTCATTTTACTTTCTTAAAGATAACATCTGTGACCTAGATGTTTCATTTAAGGCATCTTTTTGTTTAGTCAGAACAATGAAACTGATTGAAAATATACACGAATAAAATAAAAAATAAGAGAAAAGTATTATACATATATATTACTTACTGAAAACATACATACTTATTTAAAATTCATTTTATAGAGAAACGTAGTAGCACGGAGTCTGGAAATGTGCCCGGTATATGGCAATAGGCCCACCCCCTATTACATGGGACCACATAACATAAATAGTGAAAAGTGGGTATTGCATTGTACAGTGTCATAATGTACACCTCTGCTTACCCCTTCGGGGATAAAAGGCGTGATGTTATGTTATGTGTTATGTTATATAGAGAAAAAAACTGCCATTATTTGTTTTTTTTTTTAATTTAAACTTTGTTTCGTTTACTCGTTTACAATAAACAAATTTATTGTTTATAAATTATAAATTTGTTTATTGTAAACGAGTAAATGGATCATCTGATGGCAAGCAATCGGCGTCGCCCATGGACATCTGGAACACCAAAGGCGTTATCGGCTTTTTGGGGATTAGGAATTTGAGGATTGTAGGGGATTCAGGGGTTAGAGAGATTGAGGATGGGGTGAAGGGTAAATGGGCCTCATTATTAACATAATTTTATTCTTATGGTAACTTATCTGTCAAACTAATATAATTATATAAGTTGAATTTAAATAACTTAGAATGGTACTTATTAAAATACCTGGCTTATTTACTGCTGTTTACTTTTACATTGACACCGAAAATATCTTAATTACATAATTATATCTTTCGGCTCATCATTTTCGGCTTACCTACTCGCATAATTATTTGATGAGGAACTCGACTAGTTTCAAGCCATGCTAATGGCTCATATTCATGAGCAGCATTCCATTACCCACGACATGACGACTGTCACGCCGTACTTACTTAAACAAAGCACAACACAGAGTAAAACAGAGAGTTAGAACCGATATTTGTGTTAAACAAAGAGTTGATTATTTTCGTCAGGAAAATCAGTACAGCTCACTCTCGAATTTTCGATATTAACGATGGATTTTGAACTCTGAAATTCATGGAACATGAAGCTATAAGTTATTATTACATGAACGAGTTATTTAGGGATCTGGTTGATTTAACTACATATATACATATATTATATTAAAATCCTCTCATAAATTAATTCCTTACACAAATATAAAGCGGAAAACGTTCCCATTCGTGTGTAACCACGAAATTAATTTTATAACTTAATTGAATTTGGTTATTAAATAATAATTTCACGTTATTTGGAACTTTTACATCGAACTTTCTAGACTGTTCCATATTATCTAGTTTGGTTATATTAAAATTAAGCGTGAAACTAGAATTCTGTAGGGACATATGTATCCATATTATAATAACCTACCTATAGACTTTCTTGCTGGTTCTTCTCCATAGGAATCTACACCTTGGAATGAGTGACTAGCTTCACTTCTGAAAGTTGTTGTTGACGTTCAAAAGTGCCTTCCTGGTCTAATTGAAATTAATAATTTTGACTTTATTGTTTTTTTTTTTATGGAATAGGAGGCGAGCAGACGGATCACCTGATGGTAAGCGATCAGCGGCGCCCATGGACACTCGCAACATCAGAGGATTTTCAAATGCATTGTCGGCCTTTTAAAAAGGAATACGCTTTTTTCTTGAGGGTTTGAAGGTCGTATCGGTTCGGAAATACCGCCGATGATAGATTATTACATAATTTTGCTGTGAGAGGCAGAAAGCTGCGTGTAAAAACTATTGTATAATATTTTACTTAGTCCATAATTATTATAAGCTAGCTGATCGGCAAACAAAAACCTTCCCTGAACTTCCTCGAACATTTCAACACCAAAATTAGCCAAATGAACGTTTATTTTCAGATTCTCAGAGACTTCAAAATCAGAGTTTTATAAAAAAAGATATACATAGCTTTTTAACATACCTCGAGTTCACAAGAATCTGGGCTATTATAGACCATTACTGGTAGTAGAAAACCTTAATAATACTTTGCCTAAACCAGAAATCAAACACGAGAACCCATTCAGCACTTCCACTCGATCAACGATATATTGTAATGACACATAGCAACAAAACAACAAATTGATATATTGATATGGTTGACAATAATATGATAATTTTTCGAATCGAATATTAAGAAGTTTACCTTGAAAACTGTCACAATATTTAAAATAGTTATGGCGGCTATACCCATTTACAAAGTATTGGAAAGTACGTCCATTAATAAAATCCATTACCTACTGTTAAGGTCCGAAGGCCACTTTTTAAGTTATATTCATTTTTACTAAAAAAAGTAGTGAGTAGGTATCTATCTTTACATACTTAAAAAAAAGAATGATTGGTGGATTTTCTCGAAATTCGATGAAGGTCGATGAGAAATTGAATTTAGATGTTTGTTTTACATACTTTTTTTTTTTCTTTTTGTAATGTAGTGGAAAGTTTCAAGCCTTTTGCAGTTGTTACACAAAAGTAGATGGAATAATAAAATAGAATAAGGGATGTACAAAACCGAGAAATATCTATACCAAGAAAGGGATTCTTATACCCAGTAGTGGGTGAACTTGAGCGAATGTGATAAGGGCACATTCTCGAAGGTCAAGGCACATTGCCGTGGTGGCCCGGAGGTTTAAGACGCCCGCTTCTCATGCATGAGGGTTCGAAACCTACCAACGGCAAGTACCAATGTCACTTTTTCGAATTATATGTACTGTCTAAGATTATTTAGACACCACTGACAAACGGTGAAAGAAAACATCGTGAGGAAACCTGGGCTTATAATTTCTAATTATAAGTTTGTAATCGCCAACCCGCATTGAGCAAGCGTGGTGATTAATACTCAAACCCTCTCCATGTGAGAAGAGGCTTTGCTCAGCAGTGGGCATTTATAGACTAGTACATAGTTGATGATGATGATGATGACATTCTCGAAGAAGTATTTAAAAAAAATATTAATAGTTTTCGCATTCCGCGCTTAGCAACAACAAGTTTGACAACACATTACTATTTAAATGAAATTAGTTATCCGCCGATGTTTCACAAAGGAACAGAAGAATAAATAATTTAGCAGTAACAACAAAAACAACATAATATGAATCACTGTAGGAAATGTATAAAATGTATTTGTATATCCCAAACACCAATTTGTTTAAAAGCTAGAATTCATTACGTACAACGCAACGCTTATGTAAATTCAGACAAAATGATTTGCGTGAATTAATCTCAGACAGACTTAAATCCATTCCCTTTCTAGCCCTTTTGACGGGCACATTTAAATAACTCATAGTAAGCCCTAAGGGCTAAGTCTAGCGAGAAATTGAGAAAAGGGAGCTTGCAATCCTGGAACCTTTTTCACAATAAAGGTTTTCTTTATGAAAGACTAGCTATAATTGTATGGGGTTTGAGTACATTACCTCCTGGATGGCTGTCTTGCTTTTTCAATTTTTAGGTTAGGCAAAGTATGAGCCTTATTGATGGAAAATTCTTAGTGGTAGCACGGTCTGAAGACGTGGTCAAAAAAATCGTGATTAATGCCTTTGATTATATAGCTGTGATTTAGAGAGTCTGTTTGATTGACTGTTTAAGATTGGGCAATTGGGATAAGCCGGTAAGCGAGCAGATGGATCACCTGATGGTGAGCAATCGGCGCCACTCATGGACCGAGGTGTTAGCGGTCCTTTGGAAATTGGGAGTTTGCGGATTAGGGATGATTCGAGGATTGGGGACACTGGGGAGACACACTTATATATATATAAATAAGCAAAACCACAGGATTGGACTAAGTGAATCGTAAAACAAGGCCGTCAGAGCCGTCATTGCTAGAATTCTACCTAATCACTAAAGGTTATTTTCTGTTCGAATAGGAAGCCCCTAAATAATAGCTAACAAATATCGTTTGATTTGTGAATAATTGTTGTGGACTTTCAAAGGAAAGAACACAAAGCCAAGGTTCAAGGTTTATAGCTATTGAAAACTAAGTTTTCTGTCTCTATTCCTGTATTTCTATAGAAATTGTTTTGTCACGTTGAGGAAAATTACATGTACTAAGTATTGAAGTTAATTTAAAGGTTTATGTATTGTATTGAAGCCAATAACTTATAAGCACATGTTTAACTTATACATGTTACATAAAACAAGTATAATATGACGCCAATAATCCCCCCGAGAGAAGCTCCAAATTTACCGATATACTTTTCGATATTTATTATTAGTTTCTTATCATAGAGGGCGCTACAGCCTCATTCTCTAACCTTATTCAAGTTCTAGATACTATTAACCTTAATATTAGATTGTAACAGAAATAAAAAAATTAAATGAAAGCGGTAATAGCAAGACTGA